CACACACGCACACGCACGCACACACACGCACGCACACACATACACACACATATATATAAGGGTTTTAAATTTAAATCACTTTTTTGTTTTGTTTTTGGGATGAGGCATTTCTTTTCATGTTCCCTCCACTGAACAGAACCACAAAAGTAAATCCGTTTTTTCCCCCTTTGATCGAGTCTCCCTTTGTTCACTAATCTCCTGAGCTGTGTGCACGATCAATCGAGTTTACACTAAACCCAAGTACCCAAGTTGTGTCAGGGCCACACCACTAAGTCCTGACTTTCCTGACTTTCCTGACTTACCTGCCTTACAGTATGGCCGTCACGGTGTCTTGCTAACATTGCCGCGCATGTCCATCTCAGTAACACGGTCAGATTAACCGGTGAAACGATTTTAACTCAACACCGTCTATACCCAGTCCTTGTAGTCAGTGGCGTCGCTAGGTTGGGTGTCACCCGGTGCGGCAACTAATGGTGTCATCCCCCCGTGCGAATATATATATATATATAATATATATATATATATATATATATATATATATATATATATATATATATATATATATATATATATATCTTTATACACCCCACCCCAGACGTGGATTGACGGGCTAGTTAAAACAATTCTCTAGAAAACCTTTTTCTCCAGGCAAATTTTACAACGTTTAGTTGGGTTCACCCCACCCCCCCCCCCCCTTTTTTCCACCCCATGATAGTTTTAAAACTGTGCACAGACAATACTATCGATGCTCATCTATAGTCGGTTTTAAATACAGCTGGATGTAGTATAGTTTTCTATAGCAGGTTTACGTCATGGTGTAACCCCCCCCCCCCCCCCTCAGCCCTTGTCGGGATTTGTCTATTTCGTTCTTAATTAAAAGGACTTTTTAACTCTAATCAATCATTTATTTAACTGGAATCTATATATATATATATTGCTATTTTTGCCTTCCTGTCACCCCCCCCCCCATTGGTGTAAACAAGTGCGGTCCGCCCCCCCCCCCTCGCGACGCCTCTGCTTGTAGTCGGTATTTAAATTGTATTTTATCCCAGCCTCTGTTGGCTAGAGATGACGCAGCTTTACATTGAATACAAGATTGACTGCAGTTTAATTCTAGAACTGTTTGTTTTGTTATCACGATAAGGACCTGTCGAAGTCGGAGAGGGTTGGCGTTTGTGTTTAAGTGTTTAACGTTTTAATCGATTTGTGTGTTTACAAATGTAACTTTTATACTGCAGTTTCTCTCTCCGTGTTTACATATCATGTCTGAGTGTCTTATCATATCGCTTGTCTTACTTTAATGTCATACTGACAGTTCTCTCACTGCCCTTGTCATGCGTTTTACTTATTAATCACAAATGAATTAATACGCACGATTTAAATAACATTAGTTTTATCTATAATCAAAACAGAATCATATTTAATACCCCCCCCCCCCCCCCCCACAAGACATAAATTAAATTAACAAAAAACTAACAAAACAACAAATACCAAAACAAAACGAACAAAAAAAAGCGTTCACATAAAGTAGGGGAGTGAAGTCATTTCAACAGAGTAGTGTCCCTTACATAAGCTGGATCAAATTCCTTATTTAACTATTGGGTTTTTCCAATGTAAACATCTATCTTAGAAGAGAAATTGCTGACAGTAGAAGTCACATGACCTAGAAGTCATTGCGTAGGTACACTAGTTTAACAACTGGTTCGGCGGATTGCTGTCTAGTAGGTTAGCTAGGTCGAGGTGTTTTGGTCCTATATCTAGTTTTAGAAACTGATGACATAGATACGACACTTTGATTACTTTGATAGAGATACATATATAGGGAAATATATATATATATATATATATATATATATATATATATATATATATATATATATATATATATATATATATATATATATATATATATAAATAAATAAAAATATATATATATATACTTATATATATACATATATATATATATATATATATATATATATATATATATATATATAGGGATATATATGTATGGATATATATGTCGGGATATATATGTAGGTATATATATATATATATATATATATATATATATATATATATATATATATATATATATATATATATATATATATATATATATATATATATATATATATATATATATATATATATATATATATATATATATATATATATATATAATTACTGCTCTTGACACGTCCTGTCAGACGAAATATTAAGCACAGATCCTATTTTTTATGTGCAACAAATCCTCTTGAGACTCTAATCTCGATATTAGATGGCTCGAATAAAATTACGCCACGATTTTAAAGCATACAAGCAACACAAATAATTTCTTTGGCTGTCAAAAAAATGTTTTGAAACTCACTCAAGCGTGTCTGATTATACGGTACGTTTTCATAGAGTCTTTTATCATGTTTATTTCTGGTATCTCCACCCCCCCCCCCCTCCGATCTCCACCCTCACCACAGTTCATCTAAATCCTGTTTTGCCATGCCTCCCTCCCTTCCCCTCTATATATACGAATGGATAGCAAAGATGGAAGCAATAAAAGCCCAACTAACTGCCGTTGATTTATGACTTTACACAGTTCTTGTCGCATTAAAAAATTGTTTGTCTCGCAAGAAGTCAGATATAACAGAGGTGTGTAGATTTGTGTATGGTTTGTAGTGAATAAAAAAATTGTTTGTCTCGCAAGAAGTCAGATATAACATAGAGGTGTGTAGATTTGTGTATGGTTTGTAGTGAATAAAAAAATTGTTTGTCTCGCAAGAAGTCAGATATAACAGAGGTGTGTAGATTTGTGTATGGTTTGTAGTGAATAAAAAAATCGTTTGTCTCGCAAGAAGTCAGTTATAGCATAGGGATGTATAGATGGGTGAATGGTGTGTAGTGAAAAAGATGTGTAGTAGACAAACTGTAGTCCTAAAACCTGAGACTTTACTCGTGACCCCATCAACGAGACCCCATCGACCCGACCTGACCCTCGGTCCCGACCCATGATGTTGACAAGTATTCCCGGCCTCTCTGAAACAGATCACGTGATCACACACAGACACCAACTGGACTATTGGGATGATCACGTAAGTTTTAGCCTCTGTTTAGTGAATGACCACAAAAATTACGACTCATAGATCTAGCAGACACATAAATTTAATAGACACACAGATACAGGTGACGTACATATCTGAAATCTCAACAAAATAAAAATAAATAAATAAATAAATAAATAAATAAATCTATTGTTTATGAAAAAGGACGTGCCGTCCTCAAAAGGGACGTAACAAATATTAATAAAGAATATTATAATTCGAAATAACGATGGTCTCCCCTGATATAGAAATACGAAAAGCATGAGCACTAATTTTTCTCCAATACCATACAAGGTTTCCATCTTAACCCCACCCATTCCCCCCCCCCCCCCCCCCGCCAAATTTGTCAATATCTTACTGAAAACAACCTGACCAAGTTTGACTTCTTTCAAAGTACGCTTTTAAATTACTAGAAAGTAATTCCATTTTTCTTATTAGGTTTTCAATCTTTTCAATAGGGTGATATAAATTATACTCAATGAAATAGAACTACATCACCAAGATTGGCATCTAAACAAGGGTAAGACTCTTGCTGAACATATAAAAGTAACATTATATGGATTATTTCCCCTAGTAATTGTATTATTTCGATTATTTCCCCTAGCTTTCACGTTTGTTTTTGTGAAATGTGGTGTTCTCGTTAACTTGTTTACTTTTATTTAGTATCTTGAGAGGGACCGTCTAGTGGTTAAAGATTACTTTTAGCTAGTATCTAAAACAAAGGGTATTGCAAGTACCATATGCCCATACCACATACAGTTAAGACATACACGTACTATATACATGCAACGAATGCTCATAGCATTATATAGTACGTGTAAGACATACACGTACTATATAATGCAACATATGCCCATACCTCATAAACGTACCACATATATGTACATGATGGCTTTTTCCAAGCATCAACAGTCAATGGCGTTCTGATGTTAGAAGAAAGATTTAATGTCACGTATAAAGTCTAATGTTCTACACAGTAACACATTGGGGTATGTTCGGTTAACGAAATGTGTACGATACATAAAACAAAAGATAAAAATACAGAAGAACAGATACAGTACTCGACACATTTTTGGAGAAGGTTTTTGAACGCTTCTTCCACATAAAGCATGTTGTACTAGCTAAAAATTCTTTAGCATTACGTGGGAATGGTTAAAGTTATTTTAATAGCTATAGTAACAACTTTCTATCTTAACATAAATGACTTGCTCATTACGACGATGGAACAAATTTTAGATTTGCCGTTTGGACTATCAACTTTACAACACAGTTCATTCATCAATATCTACGAGAAAAAATATCGAAATAATTGATACATATATTAATTATTCGCCATTTTACAGGCTTTCATCATTTACAAGCTTTTTTTTTAAACTTAATTCCTCGTCCACACTTTTGCCTTGTGGGACGCAACTTACGAACTAAATTCCTTCTACTTCTAACGAACCGATCTCTTTCAAAACCTGATGAGCATGCAATATACATTTTAAATACAGAAAAATATCGAAGACAATTTTCTTATGGGTCGAAGGTCAAGTTTCCATCTGTTTAAACAGTGACATCGCGAGTAAATACAAATATATATCACCTGTCTAACAACAGCTCATGTACCTGGTGATGCTGGGAGATTTGTTGACCGAGGATTGTTGATCGAGGATTGGACATTTGTTGACCGAGGATTGTTGATCGAGGATTGGACATTTGTTGACCGAGGATTGATGATCGAGGATTGGACATTTGTTGACTGAGGATTGAACATTTGTTGACTGAGGATTGGACATTTGTTGCCGAAGATTGGACATTTGTTGACCGAGGATTGGACATTTGTTGACCGAGGATTGGACATTTGTTGACTGAGGATTGGACATTTGTTGACTGAGGATTGGACATTTGTTGACCGAGGATTGGACATTTGTTGACCGAGGATTGGACATTTGTTGACTGAGGATTGGACATTTGTTGACTGAGGATTGGACATTTGTTGACTGAGGATTGGACATTTGTTGACTGAGGATTGGACATTTGTTGACTGAGGATTGGACATTTGTTGACTGAGGATTGGACATTTGTTGACTGAGGATTGGACATTTGTTGACTGATGATTGGACATTTGTTGACTGAGGATTGGACATTTGTTGACTGAGGATTGGACATTTGTTGACTGAGGATTGGACATTTGTTGACTGAGGATTGGACATTTGTTGACCGAGGATTGGACATTTGTTGACCGAGGATTGGACATTTGTTGACCAAAGATTGGACATTTGTTGACTGAGGATTGGACATTTGTTGACTGAGGATTGGACATTTGTTGACTGAGGATTGGACATTTGTTGACTGAGGATTGGACATTTGTTGACTGAGGATTGGACATTTGTTGACTGAGGATTGGACATTTGTTGACTGAGGATTGGACATTTGTTGACTGAGGATTGGACATTTGTTGACTGAGGATTGGACATTTGTTGACTGAGGATTGGACATTTGTTTACTGTAGGAAGAGCAAGAGCAGGTGTCATATGTCAACATGTCATTTGATCCACACAAATCAATTGATGGGATATTGGCATTGATAAGGTAGTTGGGCCATTTTGGGAGAAAGGGGTGGGTGAGGGTTGCGAAATTTCTCCTAAATGGTGTTTGTGCGCTTTTTGTACATTGCACTTTAGCTCTATGGCAAAAATACTTGTCAAGTTAATTTGATGACTTGTTAATTGAAGGGTGATTTATTTAAGCAACCTGTCAATCAGAGGTGATTTATTAAACAGAGGCTGCATATCAGATGTTAGATATCATGGTTGGAGGTGTTTTTACCATACACTCCATGTTCCTCTTTTTTGTGTACACGGGGAATAAGTAAGAACAGCATTTTTGTCAACTAACATTGTCCAAAATTCAACAACAGCAACATTTTTGGCATCAACTCATCGTCGAAATTTCACCAACATTCTACACACAGCCACAATTCACTGCATTTAGCATTACATTCATAATTCATCCAATACCTAAAAAAAGGATTATACGTCAACTTAATTGGGTTAAAAATTGGCAGGTAAACATAAGACAAGATAGGATGTAACCAGAGCCAGGTGAGACAACACCACCTGGCCAGATGTAACCGTTCTCAGGTTACACAACCAGCCCATATAAGGTGGGGAGGCTGTGAGCGTCTTCATCCACCTCACAGCACCTTGGGCATCTATCTCTACAAGTTGGACATCTATCTCTACACGTTGGACATCCATTTCTACAAGTTGGGCATTTATCTCTACAAGTTGGGCATTTATCTGTACAAGTTGGACATCCACCACTACAGCAACTTTAGTCAACACCGTCATGCTGCGACTGTTCACAGTTCTTCTGCTGGTCGCTGCTCTAGCCACTGGACATGGATCGTCCATAGACAAGAGACAGGCATCCAGCTCGGCCACCTTCTGTAACGTCAGAGACCTGAGCATAGGTCAAGGGTCAAGCGTGACCGTGTCCAGCCCGAACTATGGCCTTGGCAACTATCTGGACAACACGGCATGTAGGATAACCTTCAGGACGGGGGTCGACCCTCTCATCGTGGGGGTCAATTTCACGTGAGTAGCCTACGTCATCGTGGGGGTCAATTTCACGTGAGTAGCCTACGTCATCGTGGGGGTCAATTTCACGTGAGTAGCCTACGTCATCGTGGGGGTCAATTTCACGTGAGTAGCCTACGTCATCGTGGGGGTCAATTTCACGTGAGTAGCCTACGTCATCGTGGGGGTCAATTTCACGTGAGTAGCCTACGTCATCGTGGGGGTCAATTTCACGTGAGTAGCCTACGTCATCGTGGGGGTCAATTTCACGTGAGTAGCCTACGTCATCGTGGGGGTCAATTTCACGTGAGTAGCCTACGTCATCGTGGGGGTCAATTTCACGTGAGTAGCCTACGTCATCGTGGGGGTCAATTTCACGTGAGTAGCCTACGTCATCGTGGGGGTCAATTTCACGTGAGTAGCCTACGTCATCGTGGGGGTCAATTTCACGTGAGTAGCCTACGTCATCGGGGTCTTGAGTTTCTTGGTGCCGGCAGCATACAGTACCTCACGGTGCCACAAGGCGCCACACGGAGTCACACGGTGCCGTACGGTGGAGTACGCTGTTGCAAAGTGCCATACAGGCAACATAGTCTTGATCCCCATCTATAGGTGTAACAACATATTTTAACGATAGCCATTTATTGATTGGTCAGCACTAGTTATCATTTACCACAAACAAAATTTCATAAAACCGACCTTTAAATTTGAGAAACTATCGCTAACACCATCTATTGAAGTAAATGACATTGTAACCAGCCTCTATGTTGACAGAGTCAAGTTGTCTAATTTCGAACATTAACTCTCCTCATCCACACATATGGCAAGACCACGATCCTATCGACAATTAGAACTAAAATGTATATACTGTACACATACTCTACTCCACCTGGTTTTAATTGCCTTAGATCTTGTCCCACAACTAACGTACACGTTTGTTGCAGGAATATATTTTTCCTGGAGGATGAAGCCAGTTGCAGCTTCGACTACCTGTGCATCAACGGTGCCAAGTTCTGCGGCGGCTATGGCGGTTCCAGATACTTCGAGTTTCTGGTGCCGGCAGGCAAAAACTTCACGCATGAGTTCCGGAGCGACGGCTCCGTCAATGGACAAGGCTTCAGGGTAACGGTTCAGTGGTTATAGCTAGATGTGGTATAGCTGGATAGGTATAATAGCTAGCTGTGGGTAGCTGGATAAGAATATGTAGCTAGCTGTGGTATAGCTAGATTATTATATATAGCTAGCTGTTGTATAGCTAGATAGGTTTATAGCTAGTGATTTATAGATAGATAGTTATTGTACAGCTAGATATTTATATATAGTTAGCGTTGGTATAGCTACATATGTATATAGCTAGCTGTGGTGTAGCTGTATATATGTAACTAGTGTATATTTTAAACACCGCAATTTGTAACAACGCTGTTGGCTGATAACAAGGTCATGACCAAAACCGAACGTGAGTAATAAGTAAGTACGTAACTGTTTGACATAAGCAGGATGTAGCAGGGAAACATAAACATACGCGACTGGCAACTAGGTAGTTGGTCGACAACCGCAACAAGTTGCCATGGTCAAATCCAACAAGGCTGTAGACTAGATGCAACTTGTTGAAGTGAACACCATGTTTAGGACCTGCGCAGTAGACACAGATGGAGAAACACAATAAGTTGTACCAAAACAGAAAAGTTTGACTAGAAAACTAGACGCAACTTGTAAACAAGTGCAGGTGTTTGTGCGAAAGAGACACGCAATGTCTGAGAGTGGATAAGTATAACATATACCAGACAAAATATCCCAGAAAAAACATCCCAGACAAAATATCCCAGACAAAACATCCCAGACAATATATTCCAGGCAAAATATCTCACGGACAAAAGGTCTCAGGACAAAATCTATTAGACAAAATATCCACAAAACATTTTCACAAACAAAAATCCCATAAAAAATATGCCAGAGAAAATATCCCAGACAAAATATTCCAGCCAAAATATCTTACGGACGGAAGGTTTCAGGTTGAAAGATATCAAGACAAAACATCTCTACAACATACAACGTCTCCAATCTTACCCGAGACCCTAACGCCGTGAATGGTCCCCTAAGAGATGGGAGGGATGGGGGGGGGGGTGACAATTGTCTTTTAGATCTGACCCCAGGGACTAACTCCACGACCGTCATTAAAACTTTCTCTTTTGACTTTTCCAGTATCTCCTGACGGCCAGACGCTACACAAACGGTACCGTCAACACGCCGTCTGGCACCGGATCCGGCGGCAACAACGTGACCTTCACCTCCGTCAACGGCAGCAGCGTGTACGAGGACAAGTGCAACTACAACCCTGAGACTTTCTTCAACGTCCAGCCGACCACCACCAACTACAACTACACCACCTACCCCTACTATTACAACACCACCTACCCCAACTACAACTACACCACCTACCCCTACTACAACTACACCACCTACCCCTACTACAACTACACCACCTACCCCTACTACAACTACACCACTTACCCCTACTACAACTACACCACTTACCCCTACTACAACTACACCACCTATCCCTACTACTACCCCGACACCAGCTACAACTACTACACGACGGCGCCCTACTACCCCCAGCCCTGCAACACCAACTACCCCTACCTGGTCTTCCAGGCTGTCCAGTACCTGAGACAAGAGCTGGACAACAGGAACAACGCCCTGGATCTGCTCAACCAGTTCCTGGCCAGAAACGGCTTTTAACCCTACACTGACCACAGCAGATTTAAACCTATTTTCTCTATACAAACAAAGTCGTCACATTTGTTGGATAAATATTCCTGTACATGGATAGAAAATAAAGTTTTAACTTGCAAAAATAATGTTGATACTTTTTTAAAAACTTTTTTTTCTGAATGATTTGAAAGATTGTGGTAGACTGATAACTAAAAAAACCAGAACAAAAATATTTGCAAATATAAATACAACAGAAGAATTATTTAAGTGCAGTATTTTGGTCTGATTTATTTAAATAATGGCATATTGATTTACAACCAGCCAGCTGGCACTTAAATAACAAACAAAAGGAATAAAAACTACATTTTAATAACAAGCTTTTATATAATTCTTCACTAAAAAAAGGATGGTTAAAAAATGTATAATAATCTACTACCATTAAAATATCCAATATGAAAAGTTATGGTCGTTTATTAAATTCAACACATAATGTAACGACCTACGCTATCACATTTAATGTCACATTGCATTTTCATGGTGTCTTGACTTATGTGCCAAGTTTAAAAGAAATTGGTTCACTAGAAGTGGTAGAAATTTCGCTGGTCACTTTCGATATCTTACCTA